CACAGAAAACCTGAAAAAAATATGAACATGAGTTAAAATGATGAACATAACATATCCATCAAAATTGGTTGAGAAAGTTTCCACAAATACTTGATGCTTTGATATTTGGCTTTGTGGAACTTTCCCTGGCGAGATGTATGATCGGATCAGGTTTCTGCCGATTTCTGCCGGGCAGCTAGGGGTGCTAGGGTAGATGAAAGCCCTGTGTGTCACCTGACACGGAGTTGCACTTCTTTCAACCCCTGGTCCAGTATCAGGACCATACCTATTTTGATTTTACCAAAATTTGAAACCTCAAAATCCTATGTATGATCATCGTCGTTTCCATCGAAATTGGTAATCTGGGGCCCCAAAAAGATGCCGCCAAGGCCCACGAAATTCTGAGCAGCGCAAATGAAATGCAAAAAAAAACTATTTTTGGAGATTAAGCCGTTGGTGAAGCTATAGCAATGTTGGATCTTAAGCAACTGATATGTGTTTGCAGATGTTTGCAGTGTATGCCTCTCGTTTTTTAGTATGAGATTATCAAAAAATGTTCATCCCCCAGTACAAACAATCCCGTCCCCCTAATATTGGTGTCCCACATAGGGGGGCACTTCTTATGTTGGGCTGTAATATGCTCATGTCAAACAACATTCAAGCCACCATTTCTCATGGCAAAATCCACCATTAAACACCATTTTGGGGGCAGAAGTGGCAAGGGTTCAACAGTTCCCATTCAAATCCTATGGGCCGGTCGTTCCCCGAGTCACAGGCAGCTCCCCTACACCGTCGATGGCCACGGGTGGCATGGCTGCTGTCACGCTGGCAGCCGGCCTGCTGGGGGTGCAGGTGTGCGCTGGACCGGTGGCGGAGCGACTCGGGAATCGGTTCCCAGCGTGGAAGGGTCTCCAAAGAAAGCTTCAAGATGGTTCAAAGTCAAATATGGGTGGTTCAGCTGTTGGTTTTTTTCCAGGGGCCAAAGAACGGGTAAGTTGGTGTATAACTTTCATCGAACTAGGGTCTCTAGCTGAGGGGGCTCACATTGGCTCATATCAAATGCATCCCTTTCAAACACTGGTGTAGTATTGGATCCATTCATGAATTGTAGGGCAGCATCCTGGGCGAATCCAATAGTAATATGGTAAACCCAAATATTAACCATCCCATTAACTAACCACAACTTGGGGGCCATGATGAATTATCCCAATTTTTTGGATATACCCAATGCCATGCTTACTGCCATAAAGCTCTATTGGGGATGGTGTTACTATAATAATTGCCCAATACTACCCTCTGGTAAACTAACATAACTATGGAAAATCACCATTTTTAATGGGAAAATCCACTAGAAATGGCCATTTTCAATAGCTACGTTAAATTACCAGAGGGTATCCCATAATTTGAATTCCACATGTATTATTGGCTTACCACATTGTATACCCGCCTGGTTCAACCAAGATCGCCTGGTTTTCTGCTTCCCAAGTGTGGATCGTTTCCCAGGGATTTTTCAGGGTTTTTTTCCACAGCAAACTTCCTGGCTCCGGTCAAGTTGGTCCCAAAACTATCATGGCTGCTGGCCAAACCTTGGATAAAATCCCAACGAAATCTCGGAAAAAAAGGGCGAAAATAATTTGATGGATAAACATGAATTGATGGCTAATGATCATCGTTTTCCTATATCCCATTTACAAATAAATTCATAGCACCTGCAGCACCTGCTCCAGGGCAGCGACATACCTGACACATATTTCCAACTACGTTGTGGAAGTACGCGCTCGGGTTCGAAATGCCATTGGTTTGCTGGCTTTTGGTCAGGCATTCTTGGTACTCCAAGCAGCTCCGGAACACAAACTTTGGAAAGCTTCCACGCCGGCAAGGGCGCATCCGAAACACCGCACAGCCTGCACAGGTTAGCTGCGGGCCAAAGGTGCACCTTGGTGACGCCAGAAGCCTGGCCCAACAGAGCCCAGTTACTGGGCTCCCAGGAATCATAGGTCGAATGATAGCGATCAATGGCCATGCAACAGGAACCGATTTATTGGAGCTACCTAGCATATTACAAGGCCTATTGTTTAGGCTATGTAAGAGGAATATCCCCGCAATTCTATGGCCAAAAATATGGTACCTGATAGCTCCATTTGATCCTGATTTTTTCCACTGAGATCAGTACATCATGAGACCAGTAAGGTGGAGAAATGTCTGATGTCATATAAGACAGTTGTCAAGATGATAACACAATGTGATGATGATGATGATGATGATGATGATGATGATCATGATGATGATGATGATGCTGATGGTGATGATCATGATGATCATGATGATGATGATGATGATTATGATCATGATGATGATGATGATGATGATTATGATCATGATGATGATGATCATGATGATCATGATGATCATGATGATGATGATCATGATGATCATGATGATCATGATGATCATGATGATCATGATGATCATGATGATCATGATGATCATGATGATCATGATGATCATGATGATGATGATCATGATGATCATGATGATCATGATGATGATGATCATGGTGATGTTTTGATGATGTTTTGATATGTAATATAATATGTTTTTAATATGTTGTAATGAATTATGATGATCATGATGTCATGATGTCATGATGTCATGGTGATGTTTTGATGATGTTTTGATATGTTATAATATGTTTTTAATATGTTGTAATAAGTTATTATATGTTTTAATATGTTATAACTAACATGCTATAATATGTTATAATATGTTGTGATGTCAATATAGATAGTTATTATGTTATGATTATATCTAAAGTATCTAAAGCAAACTTTGCCAACAAAACATTTCTTTTCTGGGAGTATGGTATCAGCAGATCCTGTGGTATCATCACTTGCCCGATTTCGACAATTTATCATGGGTGGTGAATACCTCCACCATTCTGATATTCTGAACCGTCCATGCGTTGGTTTCTGAAACCCTAGGCACACTACAATAGATGGTTTATGGGTGTGTATTCCCCAAAATATGGTAATAATACTCTATTAATAGTCTTTTAACATATTTTGATATATTTAGGGCGGCATGACCCCCATCGAGGGTACCATAAGAAATAAAGCCATCATAAGTTTCCCAGGTGTGGCCCCCGGTGAAATGTGTGTTGGTTTCTTTTAGCCATCAATAAATGAACTAGTTCGATATATCTACCATAAACCATAGTAAACCTAGTTGTAAACCAACTCCATGTTTGATAGTAGTCAATCCTAAAATCACTCACAAAATGTCCAGCTTCCCAATGTTTCTATTGGAGGTGTTGCTCACATCCCCAGGGCTGATCCAACCAATCATGTTACTTCTTGGTTTATACCGGGTTTATAAAACTTATGAATAGAAAATCATATAAAATCATAAATCATATAGACTATATGGGAGATAAAAAAAGTGATGAATATGGTTTTTATAACCTATTTCCCAGTTTAACCCGAAATATGAATTATATATAATTTTATATATATATATATCATATTTCTAGACATATAGAGAATGATCTCCCAGTTTAACCCCTGATGAATTCCCCAGTTTCACCGCGAGGCACTGCGCAGGTGATCATCTCAGATCCAGCGGAGCGTTGGTTCCCTTTCTTGAAGTGCTTGCTGGTTTGGAAATATGGAATATAACCAACTATTAATACTTATTATGGGATATGAATGGATATAACTAATATTAATGGGATATTAATAGTAACTATTATGGAATATTAATGGATATAACTATTAGATACAATAAAAGTGAATGGAAGAAATCATGGGATATATATATATATAACTACTATTATAATGGGATTTTTTTACTACTAGATACTATTAGAATATTGGCTGGTGAAGCTGGTTTCTAGGGCAAACGTGCGGAGTTGATGCTCGACTTTTTGTGTGTGTTTTTTTGCCTCAGAAAGATGGGAAAGCCCAAATGATTATTGTATGGTTTAGGGTAAATATAACTATAGTTCATGGTGGTTATAATCTTGGTGGTTTGGTTCACATGACTGGATTATTTTCCATATATGGGATGGAATAATCCTTCCCGTTGACTCCATCATTTTTCAGAGGGGTAGGTCAACCACCAACTGATCCAGAACTGCTGGTGGATGATTTTGAACTTGCAACGTTTGATATACCCTCTGGTTATGTCAAAATAGCTATTGAATATGGCCATTTATAGTGGATTTTCCCATAAAAAAATGGTGATTCCCCATAGTTATGTTAAATTACCAGAGGGTATTCTAGCTGGTCACTTAATCCCAGGAAAAATGAATATCTTCACAGGGTAACTAAGATTGGCTGACTGCGTTCATGACTTTCATGTCTCACTTGATCTGTTACTGTTCCATAGCTACTGTTGCTTCTGGTACATTGACTTCATAGCCACACTGTTCACTGGGATCATCTGCTAGACGCCAAACGTATCTCAAGCTGAAGGCGTGAAGGTAAGAATTATCAAGAAGGATTATATTGAATACAATGGATGTTAATGGATTATAAAATGGATTACTGTATCCTATTCTAGTAGCACTTCACTTGTCTTGAATCCTTTCATGACCAGAACTGGCCAGTGCCCATGTCTATAAAACACGTTGCAGCAAGAATTGTCCAGTTAGAAGACATACTTCACACTGCTCAGCAACCAGCTACTAGGTTGTAAAAACCTTAAATTGAAGCACACAAACAGACACCGCACCAGGGAAGAAATTTGGTGACCACGAAAGCCAAACAACAAAGCAACTCCCATATGGGTATGAATCATCCCTTTTCGGAAGTGTCCAAATTCTTCAAGATGACCTGGGCTCTTTCAAACACTTAGGATTTTGAGCCAAGTCACAACCAGCCACTTCATGATGCCATGTCCTTCACATTTTTTAGATGGAAACTCTTTGTTCCACAGCCTCACAACAGTCAGAACTTTGCAGTCCCTGCTGTGATATCCTGCATCCAGCGGCCGCAGCTGAACTCTTCAGCCATGGCAGACCCATGGTGCTGATGCGGAAAACATGGGCCCCGCGCCCCTCCGTGCGAGGCGGAAGGGTTTTTTGTTGGTAGATTGAGTTTATTTGGATCTATGGAGCCTGGATGAAGTACATTGAAGATCAATAGAAAGTACATGAAAGTAAAGATCTAATCCTATAGTTTTGAGGCTGCACATGGGCTCAATCAGTTCATGAGAGTTCCAGTTTCAAACCAACCCAAAAACAATCAGCAAAAACAAAAACCTGCAAACAACTCCCATCACCAGGTGTAGCCCCCAGACCAGCGGGTGTCCTCCGTCCTCCGGCCAATTCCTGGGCTGCGGCCAGTACCGCCACTACCATCCCCGCGCGTGGTGGCTTGGGTCGCCCCGCACGGCCGGTCCCCCCCGCGGCGCCACGGCCACGGACGCCGGCGCGACCAGCGCAACCGGCTCGACCAGTGCAACCGGCGCGACCAGCGCGACCGGCGCAATCGGCGCAACCGGCGCAGGCGTCTTGGTCCTCAGCCATTGGCGCGCGGCAAAGTGTGCGAGCGCCGTCAAGGGCTGGAGCCAGACCTCAGTGGGTTGCGAGGAATTGGATTTACTTATAGTTTTTTTTCAAAGTGTTTTTTGAGATCCTGGAATTCTATGATTTTGTGGCTCACTGATTTGGATTTAGGAGATAGTTGTTCTTCATGGATGTTTGGTGATTTTGGGGACTGTTTTGTATTTTTTCCGGTCTGGTCTAAATCCCACATGTTCAGCCTTCGGTAGGGGCACCCCTTCTGTTTGAAGATGGTCAATGAGTCTAGGAAGAGAAATTCCGGCACATGCGCGACGGGGACCTAGAAAAATGGGCCAAGTTAGGCGCGAAGTTGTCCACAGCAGATAGATAGAAAGACCAGGTGGACAGATAGACAAATAGATAGAGAGATATAGAGAGATAGAGAGATAGACAGGTAAAAAAAGTAGAAAGACAGATAGAAAGCTAGATAGACAGAAAGATAGGTAGAAAGATAGACAGACAAGATAGATGGATAGACAGATAGGTAGTCTGATAGACAGATAGATATCGATAGACAAAAAGAAAGATAGATGAATACGTGGATTGATCAGGCAGATCAACGGGATAGACAAATAGCAGGGCAGACCCCTTGTTTGCCATGCAGACAAGCACCGACACTCCAACTACCTGTCACTTCGTCATCGACGCTGCAACAAACCAGCCTTCCCGCATGTTTTCTATCTTTGAAACTTCTGCCACCGCATTGTGCGGTACTACTGGTACTAATGGATTTGCACTTCCAGCTACAGTCCTGGAAACAAGAAGAGCCTTTTATTTGCAATTGGTACTCCAAAATATGATTCTTTGTGCTGTCGAATTGCGCTTGTTCTAGGATGTTTACAACGCCGTCTCTCGCCTCCCCGCCTTACGGAAGCATGCCTGGCCCGGCCCAGCTGGAAGTGCTTAGGCTGAAGGTGGTGTTGGCCACCGAAGCCGACGTGCGCCAAGCACTTCGGAGCAAGGGCTTTACCCGCACAAGGGTCAGCCAACTGTGGACAGAATGTCTGCAGAGCCCCCCGCGGAGCTGGGCTCAGAGGGAGCTCCAGACCGCTCAGGACCAACCAAATTGCAATCAGTCTGCCTCGAAAGAATTAAATAGCACGAATGATGCACCATCAATTATATATCCTGATTCTATCATAGATTGCTTGAGCAGGTAGGTTGATCACCTATGACCCTTGATCACCGATACATTTGCTTTTGTTTCCGTAGCCATTTCTCCTGTCAAATTTGGATGCAAATAAGTTCAAATACAGCTTGAACAAATACTGAAACCCCCTTCAAATATATCATAATATTTTGAACATGCGTATATATAATCAAACTGAGTTGCAGATTCATGAAGCATGCATGCAAGTCATCATTGTCCTTCTTCCATTTCCAGAAACATCCAGCAAACCAAAAAAAATGTTTGTTCTTGACAATGACTAGGGGAAATAAGGATCTGCTTTCCACTTTTGTTTGATTTCCAGAAACACGAGGAAAATGTAGCACCATCAGGGTTTCTACTGGTCGATAATGCAAAGTTCAAACGCTTTTCAATCCACCACACATTAGTTTTGGACATGGCATTTGTTCGAAGCGAGCCGAATTTGACGACCACCATGCAAGAGCTGTTGGAACCAGTTTTGGTCATTGACAGGCAGATCTATGGCCTCCTTTTGATACAACCCAACCTGTTCGACAACGAGCGCATGTTGACCGTGCTGGAAATGCCAGGTGTCGCATTCATTCAACACTGCATTGCGTTTCTGCAACATGCGACTGAAGACCTGAACCGGCCAAAGTTGCGAAGGATTTTTGAGTTGCGAAGATATCTCCAGGAGCACGTCAGGCAGTTGAATCGTGTTCCTTATGACCATGTGGGCTCGTCAGACGACGAAATGGTGGAACTCTTGATGATGCCGCGCAGAATGTGAGCACGGCGATGCGCCTCACTCACCTTCTGCACAGCATTCTTTCTGTTTTGGCTGCTTGTGGTAAAGGCGAGGAATTGCTTATCGGCTGCTTGTGGCAAAGGTGAGGAATTATTACTTCTCGGTAAGTTGGCATTGAAGATGCTTTGAGCTGAGCAGCATGAATTGTATGTCTTTGCATATTGCAAAGTCCTGCCAGCTTATCCTGCTGTGTTTAGGAGCCAAATATATGTGGTGCCGCTGTGTACATTGATGCTGGATGGCTTATGTTTTTCCATTGTAAGTATGCTTTTCTGGCTGAGCCGCACGGATTAGAGGTCTTTGCAATTTGCGACGTCCTCTAGACCGTCCTGCTGTGTTTAGACGGCCATATATACGTGTACATTGATGCCCGGATGTTTTTATGCTTTTCCATTGTAAATGCCTTTCAGCTGAGCAGCGTGGATTTGATGTCTTTCCAATTTGCCAAGTCCCCTGTAAATTGATGCAGGACATATCCACAATTAAGAGTTCCAGGGCTTACGGGACCCATAGGTTCTGGAACTCTTGGTGCGTGCAGCATGTCTTGGCGTTTTTTGAAAGACTATGCAACACCAATGTTGTGGTGCATCGACCAGCGCTTAATCTTGAAAACAAATTCTATTGCTCTTTGCAACGTCCGTTTCAGTTAAGCAGTTGCAAGGTTCCATATGCATGTAATGACGGCGTTTACTGTAGCGTAGCTTTTCAAGACAGAAACAAAACCTGTTCTTTATAGTTAGCCATGTCGAACGCGGAAACACCATCGCCAGTGCACAAACTTATTGACCTTGTTGCTCGTCTCCGTTACCGTCTGCAACACCTCAAATTGCATCTTCAGATACTCGAACAGAAACAAAACATCATTGCTCACGAAATACGGGGCATCAAACGCAAGTGAGACACCCTAGGAGCCGATCAAGATGAACTTGCCTGGAACCAGCTGTCGAATAAAGAAACGCAGGATGGAACGGTTGAGACTCCGAACCCAGAGGATTCTGTGGATTTGTCACTGACTGCTGAGCTGGGCGTTACATGGGAAATGATGCCGAGGAATAGCTATCTCTCAAATCTCGGCGAAATGATGCTATCTAACTCTTTGCGCGAGATTGAAAAAGCCACCGCATGCACACAGAATTGAATTGTGAAGTTGCTCCATGGAGCCGCCTGCTGCCCTCGCATGTGGTTGAAGCGATCTACACAATTTAGGAAAGCATTCAGGAATCGAATGATTTCAGTCATGCGTTTTGAAGGTCTAACATGCACTTTTTACTATCTCATGCCAGTAGTACCGCACAAGGCGGTGGCGGAAGTTTCAAAAATAGGAAACCTATAGGAGAGGTTGGTTGTTGTGAGTCACGGATGGCAGAGCGAATCCACTGATGGACGGAAAGGTGGTTGAGGTCTCCTCTCTTTCTCTCTCTTTCTCTCTCTTTCTCTCTCTTTCTCTCTCTTTCTCTCTCTTTCTCTCTCTTTCTCTCTCTCTTTCTCTCTCTTTCTCTCTCGTTCTCTCTCTTTCTCTCTCTTTCTCTCTCTCTTTCTCTCTCTTTCTCTCTCTTTCTCTCTCTTTCTCTCTCTTTCTCTCTCTTTCTCTCTCTTTCTCTCTCTTTCTCTCTCCATCTTTCCCTCTCTTTCTCTCTCTCTCTCTCTCTGACTATCTACCTGCCTACCTACCTACCTATCTATCTATCTGGCTATCTATGTATCTATCCATCCATCTATTATCTATCCATCCATCCATCTATCCATCTATCTATCTGTTTGTCTATCTAATCTAATCTAATCTAATCTATCTATCTATCTATCTGCCCACCTATCTATCTATCTATCTACCTATCTATCGATCTATCTACCTACCTACCTACCTTATCTATCTATCTATCTATCTATCTATCCATCCATCCATCTATCTATCGATCTAATTATCTAATCTATCGGTCTATCTGTCTGTCTGTGCACAGGCAAGCTTGACAACGAAGATATTTTGCAAGGCTTCCTCTTTTTTCGACAGTGACAACATGATAAACGAAGCAATTCTGCAAGGCTTCCTCCATGTTCGATGGTGAAAAACGCAGCAGTTCTGCAAGACTTTCTTAATGTTTGAACTTGACAACGCCAAAAACGAAACAATTCTGCAAGACTTCCTTCAAGAATGGAAAGTTGAATGCAGAGCTGACGGCCTCGTACCAATGCGTTTGGCGAATGTTCCACTCCATCTGTCTAAAGTGCTGCGCCAGCCACGAAAAAGTGATGCCAAGTCATACAAACTGCTGCACCTGTCATGCTAAATCATCTTCCCAAACCTGAAGATCTGATGGTCCAAAATGCAACCCGTCTCAGGAAATCAGCGGCCTGACCTCCTAACATCTCTGATGAACATGTTTCTTGTCCTGCGCCTGCCACGGAAAAATGCATCTTTGCAGATCCTCTTCAAGTGTCCCACGCCTGCCATCATTTTTGGAAATGCCACAAAAACTTTCACGTTTTTCCTCACTTTTGGCAGGGTGGAGAATCCCTTGCGCTTGCCACACAAAACGACGCTTCAACGTCCAAAAGTAAAACTCTTTTAAAGCAAACCAGCTGATCCGCGATCTTGCAGCAGCTAGTCAAGAGGAAAAACTTTTGTCCTGGTTTTGCGTTATTTTACACCTGCGGCAATGCCTAGAAGAGAAGACCCGAAATCGCGCGCATGCAGGTCAATGTTGAGCACGACAAGTTGAAGCACTGTGTGAGGCTGAGCATGCTCATGAGAACACAACTCTTTCTAGTTGAAAATGTTCATCAAAAGAACAAAATTGTTTAGTGGAAAATGCTCATCTGGAGGAGAAAGTTTTTTCCCGTTTAGCGTCTTATAAACATCATGATCCTCAGCCGCGGATCAATTATACTCATTTCGCGTGGCCTGCGTGGCGGATCGAATTTAGTCGGAATAAGGATATGAAACCTGTCAGGAGTCCAAGGGGAGAGGTTGCAACAGCTCGTCAAGGGGAAAAACTTTTGTCCTGGTGTTGTATGGTAATCATATGAATAATAATATGAATCATGAATCATAATATAAATCATAATATGAATAATAGTAAGAATC